GCAGGAATGGGGGGCAAGACAAGGTTACCTCCTCATCCCAACCCACCTGTTGCCTCCTCCTCCTCAAGGGCTGGACTAATTGGCCCTTATAAACACCCCCTTGAAGGGAGGGTTTTGCAAGCTCTGCAGGAGCTGTGAAAGCAGTTCCAGCATCTGCTTCTTGGCCCGTGGACATGCAGGAGATGCGTGACCATCTTGCAAAGCCAGTTCTCTACTTGCTTGGCTTCACAGCTGAAGCTGCCCGAGGTGCTGCTCTTCCGCCAACCAAACCCCCACGACTGAAGATGGTGGCTTGAGAGGTGGTAAATCCTGGGCAGGAGGTGTTGGGCTTTTCCTGGCTGCACTGCATCCAGGGTTCTTTCGTGTCATTGTCACTTGATGTAACTTGATGAACCCTCGTGGTCCAAAAAGTTTTGAAGCCCAAACGGAGAGGTTCTCGGAGCGAGCATTGCAAGGTCTGTGCAGAGCTGGTCGCAGGGGACCTTCCCTCCCTTTGCTGAAAGGGGCAGGTTGTTTGCACATGGAGGAAGGTGACAATCTTCCTGAGAGCCTATGGCCCTCAGATATTTTCCCTTAAGTGTAAGTTGTGAAAAACTGTGTGGAGTTGATAGAATCGTAGAGTGGTTTGGGTTGGAAAGGGCCTTAAAGATCATCTAGTTCCAATCGCCCCACCAGGGTCAGGGACCAGGAATGCCTCACACCAGACCAGGTTAGAAACACAGAATCCTTTAGATTGGGAAAAACCTTTAAGGTCATCAAACCCTTCTGGGGTCAAGTAGGTAAAACTTTTGCCTCCCTCCACCCTCAAAGGTCTGAAGGGAAGGGACCAGCCTTTCCTTTCGGCTCCTACAGCCCATCTGTGTCCCCAGGGGAGGCACTGGGGGCTTGCTAGCACGTATTCCAATCCCTTAGTGCTCCTGGTCACGTTGCTTTTGAAGCTGGCCAGACCAAGGACACCAAAAGGATTGGAAGAGATCCAGGCTTCCCGCTTGACCCTGGTCTGGTTGCTGTTCTCTGTGCTTACTTGGTACACGCAGCGCTCCTCCACCACCATGAGACATGTGTGGTTGGTGTTCCAGGTGAACATAGTCATGGTTTAGTGCCTGGGGTCCATGATAGAGTCGTGCCCCAGCCAGATTCACATGGTGCAACCTCCTGGGTTGAGATTCCCAGGGGTGAGGCGGGTGCAGACTGTTGCCTCTCTGCATGGGGGCATCTGTTGCTGCTTTTCTGCTCGGAATCAATTCATCTGCGGGGTGAGATGAGAACCAGCTGGTGGTTGTTTGGGATTTATTTTAGAAAAAAAAAAAAAAAATCATCTGTAAAGCATTATTCTGTTTTGAGTTCCCATTTCCTTTCCCATCTGCCCGAGGAGTTGAGTTTGTAAACCTCCTGCTGTCCGTGCATCCTCGCTCGCAGCATGGCTCCGCATCCCAAAGCGTGACGGGGTACATTTCTCCCTGGACTTGTGCAAACTCTTTGTTAGCTGGGTGTGTTTTCATCTGCTTATGGTTTCCCTCTTCCCAGGCTTCCTAGATTTGAGCAGACCCAGAAACCCCAGAGCAGACCGCTGACACGCCAGCTGGTTTCGCATCCCGACAGCTCCCCAGCCCCCTCGACTCTCCCTCGCAGCCCGCAGCCGTGAGACATCGCTGGCACCGAGTGCCTGATCAGAGAGGGGAATTCTGCCCCCTCAAAGCCTCTGAGAAGATGCTGTAACACCAGGCAAGAGGAAAACCGGGCAGAGCACACCCAAAGGCCTTTAGCCATCTCTACATTGTCATTTTTTACACTTCCCGTAGCTCTCTGGGTTTGATCTTGCGAGGGTAAGAAGCTCTGCCTTGTTTGGTTGAAAGGAGAGGGCAGATGCTGCTCTCGGTTGTACCAGAATTAATCTGGATTTACTTCATTTCAGATGGACGCTCAAGTTGTGCAGAAAAGCAGACCAGCTTCAGGGCAAGTAAGACTGTGCTGGGGAAGGGATCTAAAGCAAAAAAGGCCAATTATTTTGGGGGGGGCGGGGTTTTTTTTAAGCCAGGAAAAGCAGCTTGCCTGTGCCGGGGGTCAGCAGCTGGAGGATGAGGAGCCAAGCTAGTGTGAGTGGAACCACCCTCAGCCACAGGTAATCTAAACGAGGTATTAACACTGTTAACCAGCTGCTAATTGTGTATGTTAATGATGTTAACCAGCTGTTAATTGTCCCCTCAATAGGCTTCAATAAGAAGCCTTGGGGAGGGCAGCGACTAGTGGCTGCTCACCAAACACAGAATCACAGAATGTTAGGGGTTGGAAGGGACCTCTGAAGATCATCTACTCCAACACACGGCAGTAAACGGTAAGTTGGAGTTAACAGCGTAGTTTTGAGAGGTCTTTTGATTGCAGAACCGATTATGGTTGCAACCCGATCGAAGGCCTGTGGGCACCCAGAGAGAGGCCCCACACAAGCATGCGGGTGTGTGGGGGGCTGCAGAGAGTGCTGCAGCCTGGCACTTGCGATGGAGGGGAGCGGAGATGACACCTGTGTCAGACCTGACCGGGTGAACGATCTGCTCAGCCTCGTGGCTGAGCTGAAAGATGAAGCAGAAAGGCTGAGGAGTATCAGGGAGTCTGAGAGGGAAATAGATTGGTGGAGCCATTTCCTGAATCATAAGCAGCAAACTCCACAAGAAGCAGAAAGTCCCCTCCCCTCTGGCCATCAGGAGGGGACCTAAAGGATGGGGAGGAGTGGAAGCAGGTGCCAGGGTCCCATCTGCTGCCCGGACCCAGCCCACAGGGAAAGTCTGTTGCCTCCCTGGAGGGGCATTACCAAAAACCCCCCTTGTCTGGTGTGTCCTGCTGATTACTACCTGGTGCTGGTTGTCCTGGCTGGCAGTGATGAGATGAAACAAAGGAGTACAAAGAGAATTAGAAAGGACTTTAAGTCACTAGGGCAGCTGGTCAAAGGATCGGGGGCACAGGTAGTTTTCTCTTCCATCCCTTCAGTAGCAGGTAGGAATACTGAAAGGAACAGGAAAGTACATGCAGTTAATGCATGGCTTAAATGTTTTGGGTTTTATGAGTATGGGGAAGTTTACGCAGCCCTGGGAATGAAAGATATAGATGGAGTGGGGCTGTCTCAGAGAGGGAGGAGGGTTCTTGCTGGTGAGCTGGCGGGATTAATCGATAGGGCTTTAAACTAGGCTGGAAGGGGGAAGGAGATAAAACCTGGCTCAGTACAGATGAGCCAGGGGGAAGTATCCCAAGGTTAGATGTCAAAACAACGACCCTGCTTAAATGCCTGCACTCTAACATGGATGGCACAAGCAGCGGTAACAGTTACTTCTCCATTAAATCTCTGAAGTGTCTGTATACCAATGCAAGAAGCAGGGGGAATTAGAAATCTGGTTGCGGTTGGAGAGCTACGATCTCATTGCGATTACAGAGACGTGGTGGGACAACTCGAATGACTGGAATGTGGGCCTTGATGGCTCTGTCCTTTTTAGGCAAGACAGGCCAACAAGGTGAGGTGGTAGAGTTGCTCTGTATGTGAGAGAGCAACTGGAATGTATTGAGA